GCGCTTCGCTCTTGTTCTCCTGCTGTGCAAAACAAAAATACGGTGGTCAAAAAAAAAAGAAAAAGAAAAAAGCAGCCACGCAGGCTGTGTCTCTAGGCACAATCGAAAATGAGTCCCAGGGCAAATGAAACTGGAGGAGTGGCTCAATCAACAAACCTCCAGATAGCGCGGCCAGGAGCGTGTCTCCTTGGTGTGGCAACCCGACCACATTTCTAGGGAAGTCCTAATGGCCCAAATATAGATCCTCCGAGATTGTGTGTTGCTATTTCTGTCTGCTCATCTGCTATCGTGAGTTCTGGCTGTTACTAAAGACAGTGACAGCTGGCTCTTTTTTTCCTCTTTTTTTATTTTTTCTTCCAGGAGTGGGAATCACCAGTCTTTAGGCATAGCACTGTTGTCTCTGCGTTACATCAGAGACAGACTTCACGCTCCCTTACTAGCGATCGCCAAGATCTGCTCTCGGCAGCAAGGCAGTACCAGGGTCCGCTGGTCACTTCAGCAAGCTGTGTCCAGCTTTGGAAAACGGGACATTTCAGCAGCCCTCATGGTAATTCTTTCAAACCACATTAGAAATCATCATCTGAGCGTCACGCTGTGTGCTCAGCACCATGCAAAACATGAAGAGAGAGAAAAGTCCTGACCCTGAATTGCATAACTTCCCTTTTGTAACATGGTCTGTAGAGGGAACAAAATTGATTGCAAAAAGATTAATGGGCAAAATTAATTAGATCAGATGTTTCTATGTGGTTGCAGGGGGCTGGACTTGGTAACTCAGTTCTTTTAGGCCTATTTTTCTGAATTATAAGTTTAAAAAAAAGCATATAGGCAGGACTCAAAACAATTGCAAAGCATTCAAGTAATCCAGCATCCTGAGACTAGCCAGCATGCGTTATTACAGAGGAGGATAAAAGAAACCCCCATATAAGAGTTACGGATTACTGTGTCTGCAAAGAAATTTCCTTCCTGTGCCCTATTATTTGGAGGTTTTATTTTGAGGCACGAAAGTTTATATCCTTTCCAAAACTGTCTTTTTTCCCCCCTTTTTTTAGTACTACAGGTCTGCGCAGCCTTCTCTAAATCCCATTAAACCATTGTCATCAATTCTATCCTGCCAAAAGTTGTTCAACAGACAGGCAATGCACAGTGCAGGAAACGTCCCTTCTTTTACCCGTTAAAATCAACACTGTTCACTATTATTTATGATATCCTAATACCAGGAAAGGGTGACTTGGTCTGCTTTCTGTATCCTGTTCGTTGCTTTGAATATCTCAGTTCTGCCTTTAGTGCGAAGTTGATACGTTTTTCCTGAACAGCACATTGAAAGCAGGAGGGATGTGGTTTGGGTACACGAAGAACTGGCTTATCTTGGTGCAAAACGGCCCCGATCCCCAAGGTAAGCAGTGCTGGGCAGCTCACATCCGCCCTTCCCAGGGTTTTCCCCCATATCCGATGCCTGTATTGGGCAGAGAGAGCCCAGCCTGGCACAATCTCATCTGTACTGCCTACTGGGAGCTATCTCCAGGGCAAACCCAACCACACCTGTGTTTCGCCTTGAAGGGAGCCAGGTGATTCATTTCAGAGTGTAAAGTATCAAAGATATGGAGTAGAAAGGACGGCAGTCCAGCAGGAGTAGTTTGAGATGAGCTACGGCGTGCGGCTTGGCAGGAACCTGCCACCTGGAACCGTCACCTGAGAGGAAGCCACGGAGCACGCAAGCAAAACGCTGCCAAAGGCCTCGCTTTGCAGCATCCACCGCGCTGCGAACATAAAACAAACTGCCGGCACCCACCCAGGAGAGCAATTATCGCCATGCGGAGCAATTACCGCCGCGCGGAGCCGCGGTACATGTTACGCAAGTCTATCCCGAGGCACGTCTTGAAGAGTCTGTAATCGGAGCAGAAGGGGAAAACGAGCGCAGGTAACCCAGCAGCGTTTCAAGGCACACGTTGCAGTAGGGACATCCCACCCCTCCCCGTCCCCTTTTCCCCCAGCCCTGCTCAGGGATTTTGTCTTCCCACCTCAGTCCCCCATGGCAAGGCTGTTTCCAGCACTCAGCGGAGCGTTCCCGTTTCGGAGGTGATGGACACCTGCTGGGGAAAAGCCAAGGGGTGAGCCGACCTTCTGGTACCGCGTCGGAGTCACAGCTGGGAAGGAAATGGGTTTTCCTCACAGGTCAGGCGTGTTTTAAGGGCTGTGCCTGGCTGGGTGGAAAGCCCAAAAGCCCCAGAGCTGAGCTGGACCCGTTTCTCCTCCAAAGGAGCACTAGTGTCAGAGGGACTCTGTGCTGGTCGTGCCCCCACATCCCACACAGCTGAACACAGTTACATCTTCCTCCAGCTGCTGTCACGCTCCTGCTGCCTCACTTTCGTGTGAGCAATGAAGGAGAGATGGATGGAAGAGGAGCAGCAATGGGACGTGACTTCCATCTCCCCAGCTGCTGACCGACCCTACTGCTTCCCAGTATCATCCCAGCCACCAGCACCCCTGGTCTTCATCCCCCCATAGCACTCCAGTACCCCCAGGCACAGCATCATTCCCGTCACCCATGCGCTCCACGGGCTTCAGTCGCAGTAACTTGGCAGAGCCGTTCTCTTTGATCCCTGTCCAGACCTAGGGTGAGCTGGGGTGAGAGGAGAAGGTAGTGGTGGTGAGGAGGAAGTGGTGTTATGGGTCTTACAGAGAAGGAGGTCTCAGAGGGGTGGAAAACGAGCGCGCGATGTCAATGAGGCCAGAAACTGCTGCTTTCCTCCGATCCGCGTCCTTGAGCAGCTGACAGGGAAAAACGCAGATCGTCCTAACGCTTGCCCTGTGAGGGTGTCCGCACACCCACATGTACCTGCTGGCAAAGTGCTGACTGAGCCTGCTGGCGTAGAGGTGCCACAAAGCTTCGCACAGGCTTGAGTGATCTTATCCAAGCTGGCAAGTCCCGTTCCCGCCCTGCCTCCTGGCCTTCCTCTCCCGTTCCCTCTGCGTGGCTCCCGTTACAACCGACGCTGCTTCGTTTGCACTCGTAAACCCACAAAACTCAGGACTCTCGACAGCCCTGAGAAACAAAATCCACGTAAACAAGCTGACGGGGGGACTGGAGAAGGGAAACAGGCATCCGTATTAATAAATTAACCAGGCCCTGGGAATGTTTCCGCCTTGACGATTAAATCGATAGCGGGGATTTTGGCACAGTCGCGCAGTGTGGCGTACGTCTTTCCCGAACAATTCCCAGGCATTGGTTAAAGAGCCAGAGATGGTTCCTGAAAGGCAACGTGGTGCAAATACCTCGGGAGCCCAAGAAAAACTAACGATATGGAAACGGTCCGACTGTGCCTGCTGGCCGCAGAGTCAGAGGAGAGACCCTGGCGTGGTTTTCTTTTCTAGTAGAGTGGTAGCTGGTGGGAATTTTGCAGATATCTGTGCTGCCTTTGTAGGGTGACCTGGGGCGGTCTGGCTCAAGGCCAGGTTGTCTTCAGGGTGCAAATCCGGAGCTGTCCCCGCTCCACGCTTGCGCCTCCTCGCCAGCAAAATTAAGGGTTTTGTCCCTACTGGGAGCCCAGGAACTGGGCAGGGATGTTCAGGAGCTACAGGTTCTGCGGTGAAACAGGGAACTGATGGCTTTGACAGTCTACAACCTATGCTAACAGCACTTTTTTATTATGCTTCCCTCAATTGTAGTGGTGTGTGAGACCCCCGGTGCCTCCCGTTTGTGTGTGTGAGGGGTGTGTGAGACCCCCGGTGCCTCCCTG